TCTGCTACATTTCTGGACCAGTGTTGGCCGTTGGATCAAGTGGGGATGACATTGCAGTTTGACGACCACACACGCCGAGGCCCGAGGGAAACTTGAGTTGCTGCCTTATCGTCAGTAATCGCTTCAGTATGCCACGTGTCGGCAACTGCACAATCTTATCTCATCCGAGGAGTGTGGACGAGAATGTGTGAYGGTTGTTTGGTTTTATATTTACCAGTCTTTCCTTAGCTCTTTAGTTTAGACTTTAGGAAAAAGTACGGAAACATAAGATGCAGAATTCTGAATTTCAGCCCCCCTACAACTAGTCCTCCCCCTTATAAACCACATCCTGCCCGTGAATTTGCATCAATTCACGGTCAGGATGCATTCCCCCTGTACTACAAATTACAAATTACGGTGTGGGGTGTCTTTCTTTCGAGAGGCCCACCCCATTTCCTAGGAGACATATTTTTCGCAAATTCAGATGAAATTACTCAAGTACCCACCTCTTTTCTTTCCTAAAAAGATTATCAAAGAGGAATGTTGGAGTACGATGACAGTACCGTAACTATTATACTATGGGTCAATGCCAATGGTTCTTTACCTCATATTTGGGGTCGATGGGAATGGGGTGGGAACGCAACGCAACCATCTCAGTTGGATGAAATTCAATATGGGAAAATGAACCTAAAATGAAGGGTTTTTTCCCTGCCAGTAGAGAAGGCATGTTTTCTTTTAAAATTCCTGCAAGATCCTTGATGATACCATGCGAGTTGAACCGGGGGTCCTCAAGGTGGGACCCTTTAGATTCCATTGTGCTTGAGAAGTATGTATATATTATGATTGAAGATTCACTCATTGAATTGGTGATTGGATATGATTTAAGAGAGGAGGATTTTAAATTTCAGTTGTGTAGATTGATGAGTAACATCAGATTGAATGATTAATGGATTCTTTTGTTACAACTAGAATGTGGGTCGAAATCTTAAGTAGTCTATATCAGTTAATAGCTGGGCCATGAAACATATATACAACCCTTTTGCTATGTGGCAATTATTTATTTGTTTTGATACCAAGTTAAAGTCGTGGTTATAAAATCTCATGAAATGCCAAATGAGCTAATTTGTGTCTTAAGAAATAGGGAAAACTAGAGGCGAAAGAAAGGTAAGTGTAGTTTGTGAAGGGGTGGGGCTTGTTAGAAGGAATTTGTGATTCATATGTGTAAGTTCGTTCACGTCAATCTTCACCGATTGCTTCAGCCCTCGTGAATTCGTGATGACCCTCAAAGTCCTGTCCGAGCTTCTAAAGGAAAAGAACCACAAATTCCGAAATCCTGTCAATTCTTGAGATTTGAGCTAGATATTTACACCCAAGGGCTGAAATGGACCATACAGACTGATTGGCCATACTGGACAAGTCACATGGACATACGTTGGTCCATGTCATTTCTGTAACAGTGTATGTACTCTTCAACTGTAATGTAGTATCTGTTTCGTTTGCTAAACTCCTATCTGCTCTTATCTTTAGCCGTTTAGGACTGGACTGGACAGTTTGCACCTCTCTAACAGCTAGGTCTTTCCATATGCTTCTTAGTTCTTACAAATAAATCTACCTCTCTAGGGGAAACGAAATGGATGCAGTTATACTAAGAACTACTTGAAGTATTCATTCTTCAAGCGAGAAAGGGGGTTTCAATCTGCTAGTATAGTAACAGTCATATGCATTTCTTGCTTGAAATACATTTTTAATTGAAAATCAGGATAGCAAGAGATCACCAAAAATCTTTACACGAACATGAACCTCCTCTAAAATGATGGAAACGGTTTCGATCTCTCACGATTATCTCTCTTCGAAAGACTTTAGAAATGAACTTAGTCACAGAATGACAATCACTGCACACACGAAGATTCTTTACTATCCTCAGTGGTGTCCCTGGGCTTGTACTGATCAAGCCAAAAGCAATTGCCAACCTCTCGCTGTGGTGACACAGTGCATGCTCCTTCTCCTCCTCAGCCACATCTAGTAATGCACTCATGGTATGCGCCACATACCCCTCCTGCCTTAAACGACTCATTATTTCATCTAGCATCTTGTATATCTCTTTTGTCTTTGGGTGTGATTTGTCCCCCTTCCGAAACTCATGGACCATTCCGTTCAGTTCTATTAAACTACAGCCTGGGATCTTCTTCATCTTTCTCTCTTTCATTGCCTTTCTCACCTTCACTGCATCTCTCCATCGATTTGCAGAGGCATATATGTTCGACATGAGTACAAAAGTGCCATCTTTCTCTGGCTCTATTTCTACAAGCTTTTTCATGATTCTTTCTCCTAGCTCAACCTTCCCATGGATCCTGCAGGCCCCCAATAAAGCACCCCAGACAAAGGCATCAGGCTCAATTGGCATTTTCCTAATAAATTCTTCAGCCTCACTTATGAATCCAGCACGACCCAGAAGATCAACCATGCAGCCATAATGCTCTATCTGAGGCTTGAGCTTGTACACTCTTGACATATCCTCAAAATATTGGCGCCCCTCCTCCACCAGCCCTACATGGCTACATGCTGTAAGGATGCCGATAAATGTCACTTCATCTGGTTTCATACCAACCCTAGACATCTCAGAGAAGAGATCCAATGCTCTCTCTCCTTCCCCATGCATCGCCAGCCCAGCAATCATGCTTGTGTAAGAATAAACGTCTCTATGTTGCATATTCTTGAAAACTCCAAACGCTTGATCAATGCTGCCACACTTTGCATACATATCCACCAGCGCATTTCCTATAAATCCATCTGCTCTAATCCCTTTCCTATCTACATACGCATGAACCCACTTACCCAACTCGAGAACCCCTAGATTAGCGCATGAATTTAGCACACCTACTAATGTAACATCATCTGGTTCAGCCCCATCTCTTTGCATGCTTCGGAATACCAACAGGGCCTCCTTGAATTCTCCTTGTTGTGTCAGCCCCAGGATCATGGAATTCCAAGAAACAACATTCTTCTTGGGCATAGAATTAAACAACCTACAAGCAGAGTCAATATCCCCGCATTTTAAGTACATATCCACCAAAGCATTCTCAACAAAAAGATCCAAATACACCTTATTATCCTGTATATAACTATGTATTTTCCTGCATAAATCCAAATCTCCAAGTTCAGAGCAAGCAGAAAGTACAATCACCATCGTCTTTCCATCCGCTTTTAATTTTGTCATACTCATTTCCAAGAACACCTGAATTGCTTGCCCTGGAAACCCATTCTCCACATAACCTTGAATCAGTGTGGTCCATGAAACCAAATCTCGATGACAACTTTCATCGAACAATTTCTGAGCAGCGCCAGTTACCCCACAAACAGCGTACATTCTCATCAGAGTGTTCCTTACATAAACATCCCATACCAGCCCATTCTTAATCGATTGAGAATGAATGCCCTCCCCTTCTCTCAATGTCCGCAATTCTGCGCATGCCTTGAGAAGAAAAGGGATCGTGAAATTGTCAGGACAGAATCCTTTCTCCAGCATTTCCCCATAAAACAACAGTGACTGCATTGGGTTCTTGCTACGAGAAAAGCCTCGGATTACTGCATTGTAAGCATAGAGATTTGGATTTCTGATTTGTGAGAAAAAAGATTGGGCATAGTCAAGGCTTCCGAGAGTTGAAAGAGCACAGGAGAGAAATTTGTCCAACACGAGCTGCGTTTGGAGAGGCCTGGCTTTGATAATGCAGGCATGGATTTGTTTGAGCTCTTCCATGGACTTACAACATTCCAATCGATGCAGGATGAAAGGGAGTTGTGGAGAATTGAAATCGTAGCTTGGAGTAATTGCAGGAGGAGAAAGTGATGAAGTCATGACCCGTTCGAATTTCTGTATATTGAATGAACGGATTACCATACGAAAAAAGGCTTAAGTGTGCTACACAGAGATTGAGAGAGACTTTTCGCGGGTTTTGTCCGAATTTGAATATCAATTTCCTTTCTGTCACGGTTGAATTTAGGGGTGCTCACGGTTCGGTTAACTGAACCGGTCCTATCGGTTTCCAGAAAACAGGTAATCGAAATCGAACCAAAGCTAATCGATTAATCGATTGACCGGTTTGGTTCATCCGTTTTTTTGGTTTTTTTATATTTATATTTATAATATATTATAAAAAACATATAAGTATATAATAAAAAATAGAAATATATATAAAACATTATATTTTAAATAATAAATAATATATTATATATTACATAAATATATAAAATACAAAGAAATATATGTATACCTTGTCAATTCGGTTAACCACCAGTTTTCTATATTGGTTAACCAAAGCCAAACCAGTATCTTCGGTTTTTTTAAAAATATCAAACCGAAACTGAACCGACCAGTTCGATTAACCGGATCTTCAGTTTGGTTTCATTCGGTTGTTTGGTTTTCTTGCTCACTCCTAGTTGAAAAGGCACAAAAGGAGTGCCACGTGGATAATTATCTAGCCAACTTTTAAGACGCAACCATCAATCAATATTTTTTTAGTAGAGAAAAGAAAAGCATTCTATTAAACCAGAATTAGAAACAAAGTCATTACAAGGTTCCACTGGAAATCGAATGGAACTGACTTTGAACCGACCTCTAATCCTACCTAATTCGTTATAGGGTAGGGTCTGGTTTTAAATTCTTGGAACCAATCACCACTTAGACTGGTTCTAAGGTCTAGAGGTTTATTTACCCCAACCAATTCAATGAACCAACATTGATTGGTCTTAGTGGAATCTGCATTTTAATCAATCTTGCCTTGGAATAAACCCCAAAATAATTTTGGGGATGTGGAGATTTGAATTCAAGCACTCATGGTTACAAAAGGCCATGGTCTCAGTTGACCATTGAGTTATTTAAGTGATTTGATCATTTGTTTTTATTTTAATATTTGAATGTGTACAATGTAATATAAAAGGTAATATTTATAAAATTTAATGATAATCTTCATATTAAGTTATTCAATTTAATCAATAAAGATGATATAAGTATTAAATTATATATTATATTTATTAAAAATCAAGTTTTTAAAGAACATGCTTCTTTCTTCTTCTTTTTCTTTTGAAAGGAGAGAGTAAAGAAAGAACAAACTCCACAAGTACACCTTGAACCTCAGAACCACTAAAGCCATAACCAATCCATGCTTACCCCTACAAGAAACCTTGATTTTTTACGTTGCAAGTAGGATTACAACTATACAACTATACATAAAAGAGTTGGAATCTCCTATCAACAAAACACGTTCCAACAACCATCTAACATGGTTTGACACCACACATCTCACCATGAGACGAAAACCTGCCGATGTGAGATTATAATAATAGGGTTATCCATTCATTCTCTATATTGGAGTACTTGTAGCCCTCCCCGAATCACCCGTTATCATCCCTATCAATCCAGACAACCTCAGTTGATAAAAGTTTTAAACCTCCCTCATTGTTTCTTGTAAATACGAAAACCTCTCCATTTTTAAGAATTACAAAGACCTACAATTATCCCCTTGAACTGTGATTTGTGACAAAGACCCTCTTTTAACTTTCACTTTGCAACAAAGACACCTTGGTCTTTAAGTTAGATAACGGAATCCATTAAATTATCATAATACCGACCTGAGCTTTTCTTATTTTCTTTTTTTCTCGCCCTATTCTCAAACCCTAATTGACCCAAACATGTCTCCATTTTCTCCAAACGAAACTGGTTAAAATAACAATAATCATTTCACTAAAATAGAAAAACCAGTTTCTTTAAATTCTTGTTTCATTTCACTGACTTAAATGTCTCTCTTCATTTTAAAATATAAAAATTATCTACTTTTTTTTCTAGTAAATTAAGAAAAACCAAATGAAACCTTAAATTTATATCTATCAGAAAAACCTCTAATATTTCATTTGCATATTGATTACAACCAGAAACATGCAAGGATCTATTGGAGAAACCAAAAAGACTTCAGTACTATATTTAAAAAATTAATTGAATCATAAATCATTCAAATAAATAAAAGAAGATATATTGAGGATTTAAAAATTTTAAACAGCTGAATAAGAGTCTTTATCAAAGTTCACCGACAGGACTCTAATAGAAGGGGTATTTATCACAAAGTAAAAGTTTCAAGTGAGTCTTTATCGCAAATGAAATTTCAAGGAAATAATTGCCATTGATCCCATAATACAGGTGGGTATTTATAATTTAAATTGGACCAAGGAACTTATTTGCTAAGGGTATATCAGTTTTTTTAACTTTGTTATACATAATAGTGAATGTATCTGACAGGGAGTTGTTAATCCAATTTGAAAAGAGAAATTTCAATATATGAGAAATGTGAAGGGAGGTTTAAGCGCATTACTTTTTTGCGTGTTTATAATTAGTAAGAGGCATAGGTTTTTTTTTTTTGGGTATTACAATAGATATAGACTCAGTCTCATAAGAGTTATTTTCAAAATCATTTTATTTATGACATAAATATGGAATTCATTTTTAGTTTAATATTAATAACACAATAATTTAACCATTTTTAGTTTAATTAATTAGGGAATGTTTGGAACCGTGGCTGTTTTTCAAAAAAGCGGTGCCACGTGGGATCCACATAGGTGTTTCAACAAACGCCCATATATTTCATTGTTTGGTTCAGACATTTATTGAAAATTTGGGCATGCCTCGTAAATCGGGACCCCACCAATGCATGAAACATCAAATTTTTGGCATTTCATTCATCGGTGAACCGTTTCCCCCAATGGTTGACTGATTGGCGATTACGTGTATCCTATGTGGTGCTTACCTGTGAGCACATACATGAAAAACGGTGATGAAAATCACCTTACCAAACAGTATAATGTTGCTCACTGCCTACGTGACAGAAACACTCCCAAACAAAATTAAAGCATTTTTTTTTGTAAAAAACAGGTTTTAGAAGCATGAACATTTTTTCTTGAAAATCGGTCCCAATAAACGCCCACACTTCCAAACACCATCTTAATGATACGCAATGAATTTGATGTTAAATCAATTAGATTATATCAATGAACCAAATTGGGATCCAGGTATATCCACTTCACTCGATGTTTGGAGCCCTGGGAGGGAAGAACAAGTATTTGATGTTTTGTAGGAGCTATATGTATAGACCAGTAACTAGCAACTGTCATGCATATCCATATGAAAATTATGCTTGAATTAGGAAGTTGTTATGGTCCAACATAAAGCCTTAAACTTTTCAGATTGAAAATTTTTTAGCTATTATTTATTTTCACTCTTACAATGGAAGCCTTTTTCCACCCCCTTTATCATTTGTTTTGATATAAGGTATTCATTCTAAAAAGGGCAAAAATATGACAGAAATATTTCAGCCTTGAAAATTTTGTACCCACTTTTGTGTGAAAGTAGAAATCCATACAAAATACTTCAAAATATAAGGTTTTGTTCTCTACATATTTGTTTTTGTACTCCCTCAAAATAGAGCCTCAAGGGTCTATTGTCTGCCTGTTTGGTTTGGATGGGAATCGGAATCTGAATGGGAATCAACTGCAATGAATTTCATTCCCAACTCAAGGGAGTGAGAGGGAATGAATGAGAATAAGATTCAGATTCGACCCAACCAAATGATTGGATTCCTATTCCAGAGCTCTATTACTATGAACCAAACAGCCCCTAACTTTTCTAAGAGGGAAATTCAGCGGTTGGATCTTGGACATCCAGACATCTGGGTGGGATCTAATACGAGAACCACCAGGTTTCACCAAGGATTAAATGCATTATTTTCCAATTAAGGATGCTTTGATTGGAAGATGGATATCCCAAGTGCCTAATTAAAACTACTCCAAAAGCCATTTAAAACCAAATAGAGAACAAATTACAGGAATTTAGAATGCTGGTTGCAGACTGAAAATGGGATTGAATTCTGGAGACCAATTAATCAAAGAAAATGTTGATCAACA